GCAGTGTCATAAGTAATGCAGAAGCTTTTTAAAGGGTTCAAACTGCTCATTTTCAAAGTCAACATTTCAATAATATTTCTCAAATAGCCTCAAGTGAAACTTCTATCAGCTTATTAGAGGCAGTGTCATAAGTAATGCAGAAGCTGGATTCATTTTCTAGGAGATGGAAAATGAAGTCTTCCTCTGATATGATGTTGGGGTTAACATCGGGTAAAAATGAAGCCAGTTTATCGACTTCGTGATGAAAGAGTGTAAGTGCAAGTTTGTCATTAATGTTTTGAGTGTTCTGAAAAAGCACTTTCAAAAACCACTGAGGTTGACAAGAAGTTACTCTCATCATCATCTTGCAGGACTGACAATTTGCGATCTTTCCATTCGATTTCACTGTAACCTTCTTTTTGCATGACGTGCAGAAAAGAATTTTTGAGGCGTGTTGGACACCAATTATTTTACCTGACACTTTCCTCTGTGTGAGTGATTCTATTTCTGTTGTGACTTGTGCCAAGTCTTGTGTGAAAGATGGGATCTCTTTGAAAAGAAACTGCTCTGACTTTGGGGTGTTGAGATATCGCGAACCATTGGACTCTTTGAGTCTTAGATTCTGTAAGGCATAGGTCTTCTGATCTTCTAGTTTGTTACAATGTTCCTGCCAGAGTATGAGTTTTATCGAGGTGGTGTGGTCAACCAGAATGACTTCTTGTCTTTGTAGAGCGTAGCCATAACGACTGTTAATCGTTTTGACCGCAGTGATGCTGGATACCTTTGCCTTTACGTCAACCAATTGCTCTTTTGATACCTCTTGTAAAGATGAGAGACTTGGTAAGGAAGATGATGTTGCAGCATCTTGGTAGACAAATGGTACCACCACAGGTTGTACAGTTGTGTTGTTTTGGATGATGATGCTTTCGATGTCATCCTTGTTGGAAGATGTTATGTTGTGGAGTCTGACAGCTGTTCTTCCTTTCTGGTACTTTTCTAGCAGGGGTCTCTTTGCTGGGTTGAAACAGACTGCCCTAACCACTCTGTCACTTCTTTGAATATTGCAGTTGAAATATTTGGTTGGGGAAAACGTGGCCTTCTTCACAGGAGATATGGTTTGGATGTAGCCCAAGATTTCTTGTACTTCAGAGCTCTGAGAAGCTACAAAACAGGAAAAGTCAGTGGATATGTCATATAATGCAAGTGTAGGCATGTTTTATGGAATGTTAATATGTCGAATGTGAATGCAATATACAGCTGTAGTCATGGCATAGCACTGGTTATCATATGAATTCTTACTGGAATGGTCTTAAACCACCACTAACTTTATCTTGCACTGACACCTGATTGAACTAATCATGCCATGTATCTTAACACAATGGGAAATTTACGTCTCAGTTGCACCAACCAAAGTGTTTATATTCACATACATATCACGGAAGGCTCTGTCTTCTCCAAGAACGAAAATTATAAAACCTCTCTTTAATTATAAGCTCTCCATTTGCTTCCTTTAGTTTTGGGATTAACTGTTTTGTATTGCAGTGAATAAATCAAAAAAATAATAATAAAGAGCTTTTTGATCAAAGTATAATTTATTGAACCTACTTACATTTCAATTGTGTCTCGTCATTCATCTTGGAAGGTGGCTTTTGGTGGTCTTTTCCTGATAAAAGAAAAGATTATGGTTATTGCTTAAAACCTTTTTGTCATTATTTTACAAATTTCGTTTGCAATGTCTTCTATCCCAGTAATATGTACATGTAAAACAGTCCAAAAGTAAACATGAATTTCTTTGAGGATTTATTTGAAAAATTCTATTTTTTAATTAAATTTCTGCATGTATCTTGTGCAAGTTCATCAAGTCTCTTTTCTTCTTCAAGTCTATATTTTAAATTGGCTGACTTTCTAAGACCTTTAAGCCTTTCAAAGGTCATTGGTTCAATAATGCAAGAACGGAGTGTTTTAACTCGGCTAATTGCCACATATGAAATGCCTGCAGTTTTTTCAGTTTGACCAATGTCAATCCATGCTTTTGGTAGTGTTAGACCTTGGCTCTTGTGTATTGTTATTGCCCAAGCCAGTTTTAACGGCAGTTGTTGTCGCTCATGCATTCCATCAAGAAATTGAGAAGTAACTGTGATTGGGCATATAGGAACGCATGATGGAATGGACTTGCTAATTGATGGGCCTTTGTAGTTGTCAAATTTTACAATAACCGCCTGAGGCAAGTCAGGAGGCTGGTGATTGTCTGCATAAATGAAGTCTATAGCAGTTCCAGTTGCACCATTGCAAAGCCCAACATCTGTCCACAAACTCATAGTAAGCATTACTTGTGCCCCTTTTGCAAGGAAAACACAAGGTTCTAGTCCTGCCATTTCATCAGGGCTAGCTTTCTTAGCTAAATCACTTGAATGACGTGCGTTGACACGTGCTATTGGGTTATGAAGTGCAGACAGTTTTTCAAAGTTGTAACTTGCAACTTCTTCATTGCTAAAATATAGTCTTGTGGCATTTTGAAACTCGGTCAAGTTTGTTGTATTGGAAGGTTGTCTAGTCAAGAGAAGTTTCCAGTCTTGTTCAGTACAATCTCCTGTACGTAGCCGCATGAGTAAATCTCTAAACTGACTTTGTTCTGGATTTGTACCTTGAACTCTTTGGTTTACTGACAGTTTAATTACGTTGTTAAACATTAGGTAAGCTAAATGACCTTGTTCGCCTACAGAACTGGTAGGTTTAGAATGGTACAATGGTTTATCAGCAACAGGCGGTAATTGACCAGGATCACCAAATAATATGATTGACAGTCCACCAAAAACTTCATCACTTATACCTGTTGCTTGTCTGCAGCGTCTATCAATCCAGCGAAGCATTGATTATCCTAGCATAGAGTATTCATCAATTATAATATAACTGATGCCTTTCAGGTTGTTCTGCAATCTCAGAAGAGCCTGACCAGTCAACTCCTTGTTGCCTCTTGAACCAACTGGAAGTTTTAACAGTGAATGGATTGTACAGCCATTTATGTTATAGGAAGCTTTGCCAGTGGTGGCAGTCACTGCACAAGATGTTCCGAGTAAGCTTCGAATGGCATTGATCAGATAACTTTTACCAGTTCCAGCAACTCCATTCACAATGAGTAACAACGGATCTTTTGGAGAAGCTTGTTCAGAATGTGCATTTATCATGTTGTATGCATGTGCTTGCATATCACTAAAAGTACTAATATCAATATTTTGTTGGGGCAATGCAACTGAAAATGTGTCTTTTTTAGATTTTACCCAGGAAGGCATTTCTCCTATAATATGGTGTTCATACTTGCACTTGTCATTTTGCCAGTTGTAATTGTTACAATAAGGCTGAAATATTTCTTCAGTTGTGTTAACAAAAGACCCAGGAATACGATCAGCTAGATGCATCCACTCTTCCCGTTGTGGCAGTTGTTGGGAAATGTTTTCACAATCAGTGTCATTTTCTGATAAGTTCTCTAAAGTTTGCAGTTTTTCATGCCAATCAGGTTCATGCTGTTTAGCAAATTGTGTTTGAAGGAATGCTTTCCATGAAGTAATATATATCTCGTCAGAACCTGGTTGATCACCCCAAGCATTTTCCTGTGTAGTCTGCCAAGGTTTGTATCTAAGCAACTGATATTTACAATAAAGGCCAAAATTTGGTCCCTTTGGATTAGAAGAAAAAACAGGGAAAACTCTTGGTACAGTGTTTTGTGGTTGACTTGTTAGCTTTTTGTTCACAAGCTTGTATTTGGAGGCAAAAGTTATAAAATTTAACATGACTATATTTGGACAGGTTTGGGCATAATTTTCACGGTTTGCATAAATATCCAGCAGCGAGTCATTCGTAACAAGACTGCCATCAAAAGAATTAGTATTGATTCTGCGAGAACCATTTAAACTGATTGGTACCCCATTAAAGGATGAGCTTACCAGTTTAAGTGACATAAGATGATGCATTGTCTCTTGTGCAGAAAAATCACGTGGACCAAGTGACTTCATGATGACTTTCTTAATGAGTTTTGTAGGGTTACTGTTGTTTTTGCAAGAGTGCATTATAGAATTAAATGCCTGTTTTAATACTGGTGACCTTGGTTCTCCTTTAGATGCATATTTGGCAAGGTATTCAACACATGCATGGTAATCAATAACCACCTGAATGTCACAGTTTGCCCTCCAGTTGGAGGCGCTGATGATTATTTAGCCTACCATCATTGCGCTTTGTATTATTTTGGCTTTGTATTTGGGACTTCCATCTTTTGTATGAATTGGTTCAAATTCTAGTTTTGTACTAGTGCAAGGTTGAAATGGAAAGTTAAATCTGCACTTAACATTTGTTTCATTGTGTTTCTTTCTAAGACAATAATTGGTACTGCAACGAGTGTGCCTTTGTACTGTATTCAGTAAGTCTACATATTCATCATCAGATTGTTGAGTGTTCATAATATCTTTGTGTTGCCTCTGGCAAGGATGAATGGAGGGTTTAATCCAAAAACCGTCCTCTGGTGGGTGTGGATTGTATGTAGATAATAACCAGTCTACATATTCACATACAGCTTGAGAAGCTTTTTTTCCTTCCAGTATCTGTTTGTTTAGTTCTGGAATATCTGATTGTTCACCTTTATCAAGGGACACTTCTGCCTTTAAGAGCAGTTTCTGAAAGCTGACATAATCCTGGGTCATTTTAAGTTTTGCAACACCATGACAGTGTATACTTCCTCTGGCGTGGTACTCAAATCTGTACCAGCGCCACTCAGCATCCAGTGAATTATACAACCAATGTTTAATGAAGTTTTCTAAGCGCTGTGTAAAGAACCAGTCAGTGATGTGAGGATTATTAATGACATTCTGCCGTCTGTTCTCAGGTGTGGTATCACTTGACGAGCTGCTAAATAATGCATGTAGGTCAGGCCAATGCATGTCAGCAGAGGAAAAAGTGAAAAAGAATGTTGGAGCTCCAACATGACTTATTATTGCTTTTAAATCTTCTTTAGCTTTATGCCAATAAGCATTTTAGCCAGTTATGTTACTAAGATAGCGTGATAACTTAGCTACGAAAACATTTGTGTCGTTGTCAGCTGCCATTTGTTGCAGTTCTTCTACAGTCAGATGTGCTTCTCCAGGATTCTGTTTGAGAAGTATTCCTGTTTGCTGCAGAATACGTTTTCGTTGGATCATATTCAAAGCCCAGTAAGCAAATCTTGGATGACTGGCAAAACGGTATAGCCACTTGCCATCTATATTTTCTCCAAATCTTAAAAGATGCTTAACTCTTTCTGCAAGAGGTACATCTCTGTGAAGTGAAGGATTGGTAGGGTCACCCTTGCCATCAGGAAATAATGTAGGGAAAGCTAATGTTGCTAAGAAAGGAGTTAGATACTCATTCAATGGCTCATTATCTACTGTTGGCCAAGGCATAGGTGTAGGCTGGTGACACAACTGTTGTTGTATAGCTTGAACTTCTTGCTGTTGACATTCAGGAATAGGTAGAAAACTGCTCATTTCTGTGCTTTCATTATAAACTATGTCTTCTTCGTTTTGAGGCCCTAAGTCGGGCTCACTAGCTTCACTGTTTTCAAAATTTTCTGTTTCTATTGAAAGTAGATCTTGTGGTACACCATGCAAAGGCAATGAGTTCAAAGAATCGTTGTTGATAATTATGTCTTTGTAATACGGATTGTTATTAATAAGCCAATGCCGTGCATCTGCAACATTTTGTCTTCGAACTGTTACATCTATAAAGCTGTTGTCTTTACCTTTCATCTTAACAACTATAACAGATAAATCTTTTGGGTATCTTGGTAGAGAATGTGCTAGTTCACCTACATTCTGTGGAAGGTTGATACAGTGACCTGAATAGCCCCGTTGCCCACCAGGCTTTATGTAATCACGCATAATGGGAAGTGCTCGTGCAATAAGCATTTCTTCTACTTGGGTTAAGCCGGCAAGCTGAGAAGGAACTAATGAAGGAATCATATCATTCTCTTTTGAAAATTTCTTTGGTTGTTCTTTATCATTGGTGCACCTTGAACACTGATATTGATAAGCGATTCTTGGCCTGTACTTTACGGGCCATGCTTCCTGGCAAACAGAACACTGGTAAACCTTATAGATATTGGACTTATGAAACATATCAATATTGCTTTTTGCCTGTGTTTGCTCATGAATTGGAGAATCAATCAATTTTTCTTGCCCCTCTTTCACTGGTTGCTGAGAGGCTTGTTTTTTATAATTCGCTCTCCTTTTTGCAAGCCTTTCTTGCTTTTTATCAGCACTTTCTTCAGACAATTTTTTTTGACATTTTTTTTTTATAATTCGCTCTTCTTTTTGCAAGCCTTTCTTGCTTTTTTTCAGCAGTTTCTTCAGATAATTTTTTTTTATCACTGGCTCTTCTTTTTGCAAGCCTTTCTTGCTTTTTTCAGCAGTTTCTTCAGATAATTGTTTTTTATCACTGGCTCTTCTTTTTGCAAGCCTTTCTTGCTTTTTTTCAGCAGTTTCTTCAGATAATTGTTTTTTATCACTGGCTTTCTTTTTATCAAGTATCCTCTCCTTGTCATATTCTGAAACACTATATTTTCTCTTTAAGTATTTTAATCTATTTATATTTTGACTGTTACTGTGTGTCACAGTTGAAACATAGTGCAGATCATTTATGTACCCAATAAATATTGTGTGTTGTATTTCCTGCTGAAGAGCAGGAGTTATAATAATAATAATAATAATAATAATAATAATAATAATACAGTATTTATAGAGCGCTAATTCCCAATGGTCCAAAAGCGCTTTACATAATAAAAATAACAAAATCCTAAACCTACAAAACTACATTGTCATTCTATAAAAATTCCCAATGGTTCAAAAGCGCTTTACATAATAAAAATAAGAACAAAATCCTAAACCTACAAAACTACAAAACTACATAGTCATCCAATAAAAACATCATCATTCTATACAACATCATAACCAATTTTAAAAAGCCACGTCTTGAGCTTAGATTTAAAAGAAGAAAGGGAATTACAAGATCTAAGTTCGAATGGAAGTGCATTCCAAACAGAAGGTGCGGCAATAGTAAAAGACCGGCCACCATAAGTTTTAAGATTAAATTTAGATGTAGAAAGTAAAAATTGATTGGGGGATCTAAGAAGTCTGCCAGGTGTATAAGGCTTGATGAGATCAGTGATATAGCTAGGTGCAGCACCATGAAGCGCCTTAAATGTAATTACTTCAATTTTGAAAGTTATTGTTTGTTCAATTGGTAGCCAATGAAGTTGAATAAGCAACGGCGTAACATGCTCATATCTACTAGTAAGGTGAATAAGCCTAGCAGCACTATTTAGGACACTCTGTAAACGTTTCAAGATACATTTAGGCTGACCGTAGAGCAGTGAGTTACATTAGTCGATCCTTGCAGTAACAAAGGCATGAATTAGAGTTTTACATGTATCGTAAGAAAGAAACTTGCGAATCTTAAAAATATTGCGTAAATGAAAAAACGAAGACTTGCAAACAGCAGTAACGTGCGGCAACATCGATAGAGAGTTATTAAAAATAACTCCAATATTTTTAGCAGTAGTTGAACAGTCAACAGTGTCAGAGGCAATCACCAGGTTTGTTAACGCAGGACGTGGGCGATAGGAGGATGAAAAACTATAATTTCAGTCTTCCCACTGTTCAGCTTCAGCTTGTTATTTAACATCCAAAGGTCAATATCTTTAACACAGTCTTCAAGGGCAGATGTACATGTTGACATATCCTCAGGCGATGACGTTTCAAAAGATAAGTATAGTTGTGTATCATCAGCATAAAAGTGATAAGATAGACCATGAGATCTTGCAATATCACCTAAAGGGGAAGTGTACAAAGAATACAGCAAGGGGCCCAAAACGGAACCCTGAGGTACACCATAAGGTAAGGCATGCACATCAGAAGAGACATCTTGGATTCTGACATACTGAGTGCGATCAGATAGATATGAACGAAACCAGTCCAGTGCCTGGTCACAAATGCCAAAACGGGTAGATAGTTTAGCAAGGAGAAGAGAATGATCAACTGTATCAAAAGCAGCAGACAGGTCCAGTAGAACCAAAACAACAGATTTTTGATTGTCAATGGACATAGCAATGTCATTGTAGACTCTGAGAAGAGCCGTTTCGGTGCTATGGTGAGCACGGTAGGCAGACTGAAAGACTTCACACAGACCATTGTTGTCAATGTAATCAACAAGCTGCAAAGCCACTACTTTCTCAATGACTTTGGACAAGAAGGTGAGGTTAGAGATCGGCCGAAAGTTCTTAAATTCTTGATAATCAAGACTCGGCTTTTTCAACAAAGTACGAATTACAGCTTGTTTAAGTTCAGCTTGTTTAAGTTCAGTCCAAAGACAGCTTAACAATATTCCAGATCACAGGGCAAAGGGGATCAGGACAACCAAGGACTATTCTATAGGGGACAGGGTCAAGTTCACAAGACTTTGATGCCAAAGGGTGCACAATCTGAAGTAAGGTCGAATATGAAGGACAGCTCAAACGATGGAGTCTAGTTGTTGCTACTGTGGCTTCATTAAATAAATAAGTTCCCTGCATAGGGTTCGATTCCAGTTCATGTCGAATAGTAATAATCTTCTCACCAAAAAAGCGAATGAATCTATTTGCAAGATCCGCCACGGAAGAGCAAGATGGATACTGCGGTGCAGGACTCCGATGTAACAACTTACCGACAATGCCAAACAGTTTCCTCTGATTAAGGCAATTACCATCAATAAGTTTGGTGTAATATTGTGAGCAGACAGAGAGTAATAGCTCATTTACAATACGATTTTGTTCAATAAGACGCAGATGATCTTCGGGCAATCTAGTCCTACGCCATCTCCTTTCCAGTCGGCGACGAACTCTTCTCTCTAGTTTAATCTCCTCACTAAACCATGGAGCAGCGGGACGAATGGTAACCATGCGCGATTTTAATGGCGCATGCTTATCCAAAACACTAGATAACTCCGAATTATACAAGTGAAGCAGCGTAAGTAAATCATTGGATGATTCAGACAAAAGAGGAGACATTGCAACATCTTGTCGAAAATGCTCCAAGCTGATGGCTTTTAATTTCCGACCACAAATACGCTTCCTTTCCCAATTAGGCTTAACAAAACGAAGATCAGCACAAACAGTGTAATGATCCGATATCTCTGAGGAATTATCAACTGAAATAGCATTTAAAATATACTCAGCATCACGAGTGATGACCAGATCCAAAGTATGTCCAGCTCTGTGGGTGCAACTACGAACATGTTGTTGTAAATCAAATGACTCCAATAAGCTCAGGAAATTAGCCTCCGCAGTATCAGTTGTATCATCAACATGAAAATTAAAATCACCAGCGATTACAAGTGAACCAGTTTTAGTGATATAGGATTCTAACAGCGACGAAAATTTATTCATGAAAAGGTCAGTTGAAAGATTGTTTCCAGATGAGGGTGGAGGACGATAGACAATAAGGATGGAAACAGATTGCGAAAAAATCTTAACTTCACTTTCGATGGCTTCAAAGGAAATGAAGGTGTCCAGATAGACCTTTGATGTCTGCTTAACTGGCAACGAACTTTTGAAAAGCAATCCGACGCCACCACCTCTTCCATCACGAGCAGAGTGTAAAAAGCGATAGCCATTTGGGATAAGACTTCCGATTACTAAATTATCATAATCCCCAGTGTTGAGCCAGGTCTCGGTAATAGCAAAAATATCAAAATCCTTGTCCACAACATAATCCTTGATAGAGAGATACTTATTGCGGACTGATCGACAATTCAGGAGGCCAAACAAACAAAACTTCGGAGCCGATAAAGTAGATTTGTTGGAGATAACAGGTTTCCTGTTCGAACATAGTTAGTAGAGGAGACTGGTTATGAAAGTCGGCAATCTTCAAAGCGCGAAACAATAGGGCCGCTTCTGATGTTGAACATAGTTAGTAGAGGAGACTGGTTATGAAAGTCGGCAATCTTCAAAGCGCGAAACAATAGGGCCGCTTCTGATGTTGAACGTACCTGTCACGTGATCGCGACGGTGCACAACTTTCAAAGATGGCGGATGCAGGAGACGACTTATTCTTGTTCGGCGATGATTTTGAGGCAATTTTAGACCTTCTTGACGAAGATGAAGCACTACAGAAACAATTTTCAACTGTTGCTAGTGAAGTAAGTGCCAATTATATAAACATTCACCAGTACTTAGTCTGTTTCCAAAAGAATTACGGAGTTGTACGCGACTGTGCTGTCACGCCAGCCAAAAAACAGTAAATAAAACATTGATCCGACGGTTTCGATGATTCTTTTCCCTCTATACTCTAGCAATTTCATAAAAAATGCGTTCAATTTCTTTAGCAGAAGTGCTCTGGATGCTTTAGGTGCTGAATTTGCCCGATTATACTTTGTTTTGAGAAGACTTCAAGGGGCATGCAACGACAACAACAAACTCGATATTGGCAAATGTGTCTTTAGGAAAAAAGACCAGTGACAGTAGATCGTTGAAAGTCGAGGCCTGAAGACTACAATATTATTGAATTATGATTTGATACTTTTTCGTTTTCAGGTCGAATCAACAGAGATCGTGTGCAGCGACTGTGGAAAAAAGTACAAATCAAGAGGAGGCTACCAAAGGCACAGAGCTACAAAGCACAATGCAGATCAAAACGCACATCATTTAACTTTGACGCCAAGCATTCTTGCCGAGATAGTAAACAATGCTTTGAAGAACATTAGTGAAAGGGAAGTGTTTGCAGCAGATCTAAGGAACGAATTAAAACAATATGAATATGAAGAGCCTGGAGGAGAAACACAAGAATTCACTGTGATAAAGAAATTATTTGAAGACTATTTCAAAACTGGGAATGCTGAGAAATTCTATGGCAACTACTATGCTCAAGTACCATTGAAATCTACAATTTTTTTCAAAGGACTGTCTCGTAATGCTGCAACACTTCTTGCGACCAAGGTAGCTGATTTTATTCTATCCTTCTGCAAAGGCAAGTCTTCTGACAAAAACCCACCTTCTGTTCAAACAATGCTGTCAGAGAAAGAACAAGCTGGTCTGCAGTATGTTGGTGGATATGTGTTGCATAACTTGCACAAAAAGAATGCAAGA